GATTATAATAATAATAATAATAATAATTTAAAAAAAAAAAAAAAAAAGAACAAATTTAATTTACAAAAGGCAAGATAATATTCGTATCCACCGAACCAAACGCAGTCTTGAGCGCAGCCTCGGCGAGCGAAACCGGCGAACACCTCAAAACGTGTAGCTCGGGTTTCGTTTTTGTTTTGCACAGTCTGTCGTCATCCGTCGTCGTCGTGCGAGTAGTTCTGCACTGTGCCATGCTGAATGTAAGGGTAGCAAGATCCGAAAAAGATGAAAACACTTCCTAAAACGAAACAAAAAACAAAAAAACAAAGGAGACCCTACCACGAGAAATAGCTTGTCCCTATAGGCTAACCTCTGTACATTTCATCATTACTATTATTGGGTGTTAACCACACTTTTCTCTGAATAGATTTTACATGCTACTTTAAGGAAAAAAAAAAAAACTACAAAAAAACTGTATGGTTTTGAATTGACTAGATGGCGTCGAGCATACTGTTCTGTCCAGTCTTGTACAGATGTAAAATTGGCACTACTGCACACGCTTCCCTGGAGAGAGACAGAGAGAGCTGTACGGAAACAGCAGAGGGAACGGCTAAAAGAAGGATAAAAAAACAAACAGCCACGACGTGCGACAGTGTACTGTAGATGTATTTAACTAAATACCTGTGGAGGCCAATTGTTTTTATCATTGAGTTAAAATAAAACCTATACTCGTTATTGGTGACTTCATGAGAAGGATGCAAAGAATGTAGACGGAAGGAAGGAAGGAAGGAAGAGAATGATCTGGTTAACACAACAAACTTCCACCTTTTAGCATAGCCTATGCTAAGTAGCTAAATGTACTGTTTTTACTTCTCTCAGTGGTTAATAATGCTGTGTTAATGAGCGCTATTTATCTCTCTGCACATTGGAGCACATAGTCTGCAGGCATATAGACTGAGATAGCACACACAATGCTTGTCCTGTCCTAGCTGGGTCACTGTCACTCACTCATCTCCAGGACCTGTTTTTGTTTTGTTTTTTAGTCGTAACTGTTTGACCCCTGCCGTACCGTATCATGATTTCTTTTTAAGGGTGCCTCGGCTTTTTTTTTTTTTTTGGTCTTCCCTCCCACACCCCTTTTTTTTGTTGTTTCTTATAGATTTAGGACCTGTAACTGTATTTGCCCCTTTATGGTTGTAAATTTGCATAAAAGCAATGTGTTTTGCTGGGTTTTTATGTACTGTATCTCTTTCATTGTTCCATAGATCATGTTAGATGCATATTCGCAGTGGGTGGGGGGAGTGTCAGTCGATGGGTCGGACCCTTGCCGCTGATCAGCCAGTCAGGAGAGCAGGGTCTTAAATTGCACAACAATCTTCTGTCATCATCTGTAGGAGGGGTTTATTTAATTCAGTCTAGTCCGGGGTGTAGGATTTATTTTGTGTTTTATTGTCTTTGTTGTGTTTTCTAATCCCCACCACAGCTTTGATTTTTTTTTAAAATTTGCATCCCATGAAGCCCCACTGCATCGGCAAAGAGCTTGTTGTAATTGTAACCCCAGCGTGAGAACACTAACATCTTGTGCAAGTGCAATATACTGTAAAATACACTGAATATCAGTCGACTGGCAGGTGTGATCAGGGTGTGCTTGCAGCGGTAATCCTGCCATGTGGAGTCAAAAGCTCTTCTTCCTCGTTAGCTTCTGCTCTGCTAACATTTGGTGTCTCATCGAGGGCTTCTTTTGGTATTTCTAAAAAGCTAAAACATGACACAGCAGATTTTCCACACCATATTCTTAAACATAAAGTATCTACCACTGTGCCAGACAGTAAACTCCCTTTTGATGACAAAATGGTGACACTTTACTATCCAGTGCATTTGTAGATATTTAAATTACAAATGAATAAAAGCTTTTTAGAAACAGAGATAAAAGAAACTTTCTGCAGCCAAATACTAGCAGAACAAATCTAGCTTGAAAAAGTGCGACAGAATTTTGGCTTTCTAACATGTCATACTAAAACTTGTCATCTTGTAACAGGAATGTTGGGTTTAATAGCACTTCTTCACAAAACCTGCACTCAGAAAAACACTCCATGTGGCTGTTTTTGACTGGAGGAAAGAGAAGTTTTCCAAAGCCCTGTAAATGGAACTGTTTGATGACAGCAAATAATTTAAGAAGTAATAATTACGTTCTACAAGCTGCCGGGAGGAGTCACTCTCCCGTGTCTATGACAGGATGGTTTTTTGGTGTCTATCGAGATGGTTTATTCCCTCTGTGTAATCTTCTAGATTAGGTGAGACTTTGCAGCATGGACCTCAAAATGTTTATCCTTTGACCTTCCACCAAAACTGGATATGAAATGGGGAAAAAATAGATAATGATTAACAGCAAAGAATATTTGACTTTTGCATTAATTCTAAATTAAAAGAAAGAAAAAAACAAAGTGTAGCCACTTTTTTTATTACTGTGTAATAGTTGGTCAATTTTTAAAGGACAGTTTTGAGGATCCATGAGTGGACAAGGTACTGGATCATTCCTGGAGAACTGGGGCACAAATAGCAGGGCTCTGATATGGACGGAGATGGGAAGTACATGAGATCACAGTTTTGGATTGATTGCATGATGTAAATGTATGTGTGATTAAATAATTATGACAAAACACTCGCTATCTTTTTTTTTCCTTTTTGTTGTGTTTAAGATAATTGTAACGGCCATTTAATGCTAAAGTGATCAATAAGCTTACAAACTGTTTCTGTGAAATCTGATACTGTTAATTTCCAAGAAAGATTATTGTATTTCTTTGGTCTGGGACTGCCCCCACCCCCCAGTTCCAATTACAAATCATAATGCACAGCACTCAGGGATATTTAAGACAATACTGTGCTAATAACTTGGCAACAGGGGGCAAGGTAATTCCCTGTTGTCGAAAGCCAGCTCCATGAAGAAATCCCTAACCCTAACCCCTTTTCCCAGTTAAGGGTGGCCGGCACTGAGCCCCAACTTCAACCCTATCTGATACATCTAAAAGTACTGAACATTGAAATTGATTGAAATGACGAACTCATGCAATCATCCATGTCATACATGAAGATTTTTGAAATATTTACAGTATGAAGTGCAAGCATATCTAGATCACTTATTTTAATATAAAGACAAATGACATTATTTGACATTATGTATAAATATATAATATTTTATATATCATGATGCCACAGATGTCTACTACAAAATTAGAAAATGTTTCCCCCAGGGGAAACCCATGTTTAAATTTTCCACAGTTTATGCAGACTTCTCTCTGCTTGTTGCCTGGCAACTGCTCCTGGCCAAGAAGTACTCCGGCACGTACCCTCCATTAAAAGTATGAATTGTTGCGTTAACATTCTTCTGGCTTTTATGTATGGGATAAAGGAATGCGATGTAAAGTGTAAAGTATTGGTGAGCTTTAGATGTGCTGGTAGAGGTTAATGTTATACTTGCACAGAGCCAGGCTAGATGAAGCCAAGTTACTTGGTTGATGGCTGTTGTGAGGGTACGTCATGCTGTGTGGGGCAGGGGCAGCATCTTCAGGTTATGTGCTCTGTTATCTCTACCCAAGTGTACACCGATCAGCCAAAGCATTAAAACCACTGACAGGTGAAGTGAATAACGTAGAACTTCTCGTTACAATCCAAGATTCTGCTGGGAACCCTTTGGTCCTGGCATTCATGTGGATGCCCCCGGATGTGCAACCATTTTGCACTGCAAAAGCTGCTCAGGAATGGTCAGAGGAACATGACAAAGAGCTCATGGTATCAACCTGACCTCAAAATGCCCCAGATACCAATCTGATCGAGCATCTGTGAGACATGCTGGTACCCCACCTCACAACCCATAGGACTCAAAGGATATGCCATCAACATCCTAGTGTCAGACACCACAGGACATCCCCAGAGCTCCTGTGTCCATGCCTCAACAGGTCAGAGCCAAGTCTGATCCAAGGAGGGCCCACCGTGGATTGTGGGTACCTCTGGGATACCGGCATCATGTCCCATGAATTGATTGATTGGATTGGGATTTTGGAGAACTTTGAGGCCAGGTTGATGCCTTGAGCTCTTCATCACATTCCTTGGGCCATTCCTGAGCAGTGTGGCAGGTGCATTGTCCTGCTGCAAGGGACACTGCCATCAGGGAGTGCTGTTGTCTGGTATTTGGGTGGATTGAGCACGTCTAGAGGCATCTGAATAATTGCCAGGGTCAAATGTTTCCCAGCAGAACATTGCAGATGAAGATGATCAATTTTATTGACTTCACCCACCAGTGGTTTTAATGTTTTGGCTGATCAGTGTATGACTTGGTTCAGGAATGAGAGTGGAGGTATTGCATGTGGGTCTGAAATCCAGCTTCAAGCTGCCAAGTCATATGGATCTATGTTGTTCACTGTGATTAGTTTCTCCAAATGCATTTGCTTGACGATTGTAGCAGGCATAACCTAGGTAACACAGCATGATCTTCACAAGAGGGCGCCCACACGCCAATACACAGTGTGATGACAACTTTACATTCTCTGTAGCTTCATTTTGAGACCATAGACTGCATATACAGTCATCTGTACACATGGGAGGATCACAAAAAAAAATGTTTTAAATGTAGCATATCCAGTGTAATGTCCAGAAGGTAACTAGTTAGAACATGTAACTGTAATTATATTACAAATATATAATATTGTATTCAGTTACAGCTACTGAGAAAAATTGTGTAATAAAATTACAATTATTAATCTAAATATTGGTGACTACACACATGGTACATCAGAATATATTGTTTATGGCAA